CTTTCAAGCTTGGATACTAGTATGTTATAAACCAGTTTTGGATCTCGGCCATGTTTAGATATTTATCAAGATATTGGTGACAGTTCACATTGAAATTGTCTATAAAATGTCAACCAAGTTGAATTTTGCAAGTTTCTTTGCCTGTGACGATTCGGAGGGACATAGTACGTCTCGTGTTTTGCTCTGACATCGACATGATTTACGAAGTGAAAACGGGAACTCTTGATAGATAAACTATTTCTCATTTTGGTTTGTATCTTTCGCCATAGCTGTATAATATACGTGCTGATATAAATAGACTAACACCACTCAAGGGAATACCCTAAACGGTCGACTGGTTTGTCAGCGTGGTGTGTCTGTTCTCACTCGCAGTTCTGGATAAAAGGGATGTTCACAAATTATACATTTCCAAAAGGGACCTACACTTCGCGTGGAGTTGATCGGTACTGGTGTAAAGCAATCGTCGGGCAGCAGACCGATACGTTACCCATCGTCAACAAAATATGGTGTCGACGAAATATGTGTTTCTCCCAATCATTGCAACGCCCAACCTTGTCAGCAATACGTATTCATCATTGATCATGCGCTAATTCATCAGACCTCCGCGTATTTCTATCTCACGCATGCGCACTTTTAATTGCTACGTAGTTATTCAATACTCGAAGAGTGCCGAATAGATTGAATAGGCGACCATAAATATACCAAAAGTAGACGTACACTGTCCAAGTGAAGACATGTGCGATTCATTCCCACGCACATACATACTAAATACTAGTAGTAGATACCCTCTGATGGTACACGTACAAGTACGCACAGCGATAAGCTCACAGTATGAGTTATCGTATCGTTGATTTAGGAGTCTATTTCATTTCACAAGAATACACTGTTTTACTCTTTCTAATTCACAGGGCCGTGTGTTGAATAGCGTTAATGCACTAGTCTTACAACCGTGGGCGGAATCGGACAAGTCCATTGACGCCGAAGCCGACAGATTTCTTACATATATCACTACCATACAGGTAAGTGTTGCATAATAAAAAAAAGCACCGTATACTAATATTACATATTTGTGAGGTTTAAAAGCTATTTCCTCCAATTCAGAACAAATCACAAAAAACAGATTCGATGATTCAACGTACTTGGCGCTCTTCGACAAATTCAATCAAAACGTCTATTTCTTTGTTATATGTCGGTAGATGAATTGTCGTAATATCATAGACATTGGTTACGTCATTCCCTCGACGACTAACTCGTCATGGCCATGGAGGGTGTGCTACGATTCTAATCACGTGGGACGCGAGTACCAATCAGAGGACATGAGCTGTTTAGTGTATTCGTTTGGGTAAGTAACTCTTGTATTAGCATTCTGTGGCAGAAATAAACTTTTCAAGAGTACTCATTGTACGATGTCGTCTCAACGGCTGCAACATAGAATTTTTTCAAAATCCAGGATAGTGCAATAATTTCATAAACTAAAAACGTTTTGTTTTAAACAGTACAAACCCGCAAGATCGAACTTTTGACCTGGAACTCCTGGATCGAGGTTGCGAGGTGCACGTGTTCAGCCCCACCACAAAGACTGTCGGAAAATCTGCTTCGAACGAGAGAATGGTTTTCCACAAAACGTCTTTAGATTGGCGTGACACGATGATGAATCCACACGTCGCGAGTAGCTGGAGAACAAGACGATTATCTGGAATTATGTCAGATTTAGGTCATACTGAGGTATTACATAAGTGGAATTATTATTAGTACTAAATAAGGAATAATAACGTTTTTCTGTACCAACATTTTTTCTATGTATCGTTTTAAGATTTAAAGTGGGTTTAATTTTTTTTTCAGATCGACATTCTCCGAGCAAACTTAGAAAGTTCAGAATGGAAAGTATTAGAGAATATCGTCGCTGAGGGCACAAGTCAACGAATTCAACAACTTATAATCAAAATCCATCTACACTGGGGTGGTTTTGAAGTGACAGGAAGTGACGCGGATGTCGTCAGATTTTGGTACAGCGTTTTCAAACAGCTGGAAAACAGCGGATTTAGGCTGTTTTCGTCTGTGAAGGACACGCGAGCGCAGCAGAAGTTTCTTGGGCACGAGAGATACAACGCCAGTTCTGTGTACACGCTATCGTGGTTAAATACTCGATGGACAGCTTATGGAGAGTATGGCTAGTGTATTAGAAGATATGCCAGGCAATGAACCGAGTACAAGACACTAAACAGAAGTTTTATCAGAGTCATTTTATTTTTTGCTTTAAATACGACTAGAAATATCTCCAACTAGTGTTCTACAGTGAGGGTTTTCATTTGAATAATGCAATTATTTGATCAAAAAAAAAAGATATAAAAACCGAAAAAGCCTTTCCTTCATATCAACGAGTGGTCCATTCGTTGAATCGACTAACATTTGCCATTCATACAGCAATAAGGGAATTAAGATCGTTGTCAATTGCCTTGAATACCACCAAGCCCATACAACAATGAGAAGAACTAACAGAAAATCAGACAATTTCCCTATGTCGCACAGATTTCTGGATACATGGGGCGACGCCAAATTAACCTTATTTTCAAGTTTCTCTGTTTTTTGCATTTTGTATTTCTCGGCACATCGCAAGACCTCCAGTACCTGGTGTATATGGAGGAAACTCAAACTTGGTCTCCGGCATGGCCGCAGCATCTGATCAACGACGTGTTAAATGACGTAGAAGCCTACGTCACTGTTTTCAACCAATCAGCCAGCAAAGTACATACTGTATATCACATTTACGTGTCACAGTTTTTAATTTTGTTGTACAATTATTGTTTTCATTGGATCTTATATATAAGATGTTCGTTTTTTTGGTCGATGTTCAATTTTGGGCGACATATATATAAATATACTAAGTAAACAGTATAAAAAGCAGTATAAAAAAACAAGAGCAGAGAAATTAATATTTCAATACTGTAGAAAGCGTCTTTAAGTTTTGTTTACAATCTTTACGCCATACTTCACGCCATAGTCGTCGCGCAGCGCATCACATGGCATCACAGTCGTCACGTAGCGCGTGTTCGAATTTCATGTCAGAAAATAGTGTG